GTAATCCCAGCACTTTGGGAGGCCGAGGCGGGTGGATCACGAGGTCAAGAGATCGAGACCATCCTGGTCAACATGGTGAAACCCCGTCTCTACTAAAACTACAAAAAATTAGCTGGGCATGGTGGCACGTGCCTGTAATCCCAGCTACTCAGGAGGCTGAGGCAGGAGAATTGCCTGAACCAGAAGGCGGAGGTTGCGGTGAGCCGAGATCGCGCCATTGCACTCCAGCCTGGGTAACATGAGTGAAACTCCGTCTCCAAAAAAAAAAAAGATAGTAAGTATAGGCCAGGCTCAGCAGCTCCTGCCTATAGTCCCAGCTCCTCAGGGGTCTGAGGCAGGGGGATCACTTGAGCCCAGGAGTTCAAGGCTGCAGCAAGCCATGATCATGCCACTGCACTCCAGCCAGGGTGACAGAGTGGGAACCTATCCATAAAAATGAATAAGAGCTAAAATTTAAAACGCAAACAGATTAGCTAGGTGTAGTGGCTCATGCCTGTAATCTCTGCACTTTGGGAGGCTGAGGAATGGGGAATCACTTGATTCCAGGAATTCGGGACCAGCTTTGGCAACATAGCAAGAACCCAGCTTAAAAAAAAGGGAGAAAGAAAAGAGAAAAATTGTGGAGAGATTTAAAGACTCAATGAAACCGAAAGTTGTTTTTTTAAAAAGATAAAGAAAAAACCTTTAGCATACTGACAAAGGAAAAAAAGGTGCAAATAACTAAAATTGTAAATGAAAATAGAGACATTACTACTGACCTTACAGAAATTTAAAGGATTATAACAGAATGCTATGAACAATTATTCACTGAGAAATCAGATAATCTATCTAGATGAACAAATTTCTAGAAACACATAAAACTGACTTAAGGAGAAATAGAAAATCTCAACAGACCTGTAATAAGAGCTGGAATTAGTAATCAAAAATCTCCAAACAAGAAAAGGTCATCACTGAATGGTTTAAGTGCTGAAGTCTACCAATAATTTAAGTACACATTATTTTCAAATGCTTCCAACAAGTAGAAGAGAAAGGAACCAACCTTCCTTCCTTCCTTTTTTTCTTCCTTTTTTCCTTCTTTCCTCTTTCTCTTGCCTTCTTTTTTTCTTTTTTTTTGTTTTGAGACAGGGTCTTACTCTGCTGCCCAGGCTGGAGTGCAGTGGTGTGAAAGATTCACTGCAGCCTTGACCTTCTGGGCTCAAGCAATCCTCCTGCCTCCCATGTAGCTGGGACTACAGGCATATGCCACCACATCTGGCTAATTTCTTAATTTTTTGTAGAGACAGGGTCTCACTTTGTTGCCCAGGCTAGTCTCAAATTCCTGGGCTCAAGTTGTACTCCTGCCTCAGCCTCCCAAATTGTTGGAATTACAGGAGTGAGCCGTCACACCTGGTCTCTCTCTCTCTCTCTCTTTTTCTTGGATACACTGTCACTCAAGCTGGAGTGCAGTTGTGTGATCACAGCTCACTGCAGCCTCAACCTTCCAGGTTCAAGCCATCCTGCCACCTCAGTCTCCAAAGTACCTGGGACTATAGGCACACACCACCAAGCCTGGCTAATTGTTATATATTTTTTGGTACAGACAGGGTTTTTCCATGTTGCCCAGCCTGGTTTGAAACTCTTGGATTCAAGTGATCTGCCTGACTCAGCCTCCCAAAGTGCTGTGACTACACGTGTGAGCCATCATGCCCAGGAGGAGGGAACATTTCTTAATATTTCCTTAAATATTAAGAATTCTCTTAATATTTCTTAACACATCTTATGGGGCCAGCATTCCAGACAATGATACCACAAGAAGAGAAAACTACAGACCTACATCCCTTATGAATATAGATGCAAAAATCCTCAACAAAATGTTAACCAAACCAAATCCTGCAACACATTAAATGGACTGGATACCACGGCCAACTAAAATGTATTCCCCTAGTGAACCCTGCCTCCCAGTAGTCATGCCTTGTGTAGTCTCCACCCATGCTGAGTAATACTGGCTCATGTAACCAATAGGATGTTGCAGAAATGATGGTGTGTGACTCCCAAGGCTAGGTCATAAAAGGCACTGTAACTCCCTCTGCTCTTTCTCTTGGAATATTGGCTCTTGAGAAGCCAGCTCCCATATTGTGAGGAAGCTCAAGCAGCTTCCTCTCCATAGCCTCTCCATAGGGCTCTGTGGAGAAATCTACATGGCATGGACCTGAGGCCTCTCACCACCAACCGCCACCCACTTGCCAGTCATGTGAGTGAACTACCTTGGAGGTGGGTCTTCCAGCTCCAGTCAAGCCTTCAGATGACAGCTGCCCCTCACTGATATCTTGACTGCAACCTCATGAGAGACTCTGAGCCAAACTCTCCCACTAAACCACTGTTTGTGAATTCCTAACCCACAGAAATGAAATGATAATAATAATAAATATTTATTGTTTTAAGCCTCTATGTTTTTTGCTGGATACAAAAGAAAAAGAAAAAAGAAAAAGCCTCTATGTTTTGAGGTGATTTGATACATAACAAATGCTCTAACTCAGAAGTAGGCATTTTTTTTTCTGTAAGGGACAGAATAATAAGTATTTTAGGTTTTCAGGCCACATAGGTTCTCTGTTGCGCATTCTTTTTTGTTGTTTGTTTATATTTATTTTTTAGAGACAGGTCTCACTCTGTTGCCAAGACTGGAGTGCAGTGGTGTGATCATAGCTCACTGCAGCCTAAAGCTGCTCAAGTGATCCTCCCTCCTCAGCCTCTCAAGTAGCTGGGACTACAGGTGCACACCACCACCATGCCTGGCTCTTGTCTAGGTGGATCATGGACTCCTGGCCTCAAGTGATCTTCCTACCTCATCCTCCCAAAGTGTTGGGCTTAACAGACAGGAGCCACCGTGCCCAGCCTGTTGTTGTTGTTGATCAATCCTTTAAAAATATATTTTTTTAAAAGCCTGGGAGTGGTGGCTCACACCTGTAATCCCAGCAGTTTGGGAGGCCAAGGCATGTGGATCACTTGAGGTCAGGAGTTTGAGACCAGCCTGGCCAACATGGCAAAAGCTCGTCTTTACCAAAAATAGAAAAATTAGCCAGGCGTGGTGGCAGGTGCCTGTAATCCCAGCTACTGGAGAGGCTGAGGCAGGAAAATCACTTGAACTTGGGAGGCGGAGGTTGTAGAGAACTGAGATCACCCATTGCACTCCAGCATTCCAGCCTGGGGGACGAGAGTGAGACTGTCTCAAATAAATAAATAAATAAATAAAAATAAAAGTTAAAAAAAAAAAAAGCCCTTAGCTGAGGGCTGTACAGAAACAGGCCATAAGCCGTTTGCCTGCCCTCTTTCCTTCCTTCCTTTCTTCCCTCCCCTCCCTTCCCTTGCTGTATCCTTCTCTCTTTTTTTCTCTCTCCCTCCTTCCCTTTTTTTTCCCTTCCTCCTCCTTCCCTCCTCCCATCTCTCTCTCCCTCCATCCTTTTATCTTTCTTTCCTTCCCTCCCTTTCTTCTTTCTCACTCTCTCTTTTACTTCTTCAATCATTCGTTGAGCAAAATGAGCAGCTATTATGTGCCAGGCCCTGAGTGTCTGTGATTACAACTGTGGCTAAGACAGGCAGCCTCCCTGCTCTCCTGGGGCTCCCAGCCTAGAAGGGGAAACAGACAGCAAAAACACAGATAAAGAATCTAGTCTTGGTGCAGTGACTCATGCCTGTAATCCCAGCACTTTGGGAGGCCAAGGTGGGCGGATCACCTGAGGTCAGGAGTTCGAGACCAGCCTGGCCAACATGGTAAAACCCCATCTCTACTAAAAATACACAAAAAGTAGCTGGGCATGGTCGCAGGTGTCTGTAATACCAGCTACCCAGGAGACTGAGAGAGAAGAGTCACTTAAACCCAGGAGGTGGAGGTTGCAATGAGCCGAGATCGCATCACTGCACTCCAGCCTGGGCAACAGAGTGAGACTCCATCTCAAAAAAAAAAAACAACAGAAAAAAATTAGCTGGGCATGGTGGTGTACCCCTGTAGTCCCAGCTACTTCAGAGGCCGAGGCAGGAGAATCGCTTGAACTGGGGAGGCGGAGGTTGCAGTGAGCCAAGATCTCACCACTGCACTCCAGCCTCCCA